AGTAGCTTTTGCATCCGGCCCTCCTCCGTAGGTTCTTCTTTGGAGTCACCTAATTGGCAGGTCTCGACAAATAATGCAGTCTACTCGCCAATGGCGAGTAGATTGCAACCCAGAAGAGCCGGGTTCGGGTGATCTGCGCATGCGCAGATTGCTGGACAGCGCGGCTGGTGAGTGGGGCTCGCTGCGGTTCGGTGAGCCCTGCTAATTGGAATGCACATGAGCAATCACTCAAAGAAGAAAGAATGGTTACTTACCTCTTAACTGTTGTTTTTCGAGATGTGTTGCTCATGTCCATTCCAAATCCCTGTCTACCACCCTTTCTCCCAAGTATTCCTGGTGAGAAGGAACTGAGTGGGTGGAGGGCCAGCAAGGATATATATTGGCTGATATGCCAGCACCACTCCAGGGGGCTCCCTGCTGTCCCGACTGATACTGCTGAGGGAAAAATTCCCGATGACGCGTGCACGCTGCGCATACGCACCTAATTGGAATGAACATGAGCAACACATCTCAGAGAACAACAGTTATGAGGTAAGTAACCGTTCTTTACATTGGGAGTCCCGTTGATTCTATGTGATTACTTTTTGTGGTCAAGGTAATATAATGCAAATGGACATGTATTCCAGTGTACAGACTAATGAAAAATATCTTATTTTTCTGTCATATCACAGATTCTCTGTCTAGTTAATGTCGAACACAGTACATTTGTTTTGTTTTTATTCTGTTAGGAATCAATGAAATCTCTGAAGATGTTTATAATGAAGTAGAACATAGTGACTCTGAGGATTCTGAAAAATCAGACACCAGTGACAGTGAATATATCAGTGATGAAGAACAGAAATCAAAGAACGATCAGGAAGATGGAGAGGATAAAGAGAGTGGAAAAAGTGATAAAGAGTCACTGACCATGAAAAAAAAACCTAAACCACCAGCTGCAGGTGAAGTTAAAGAGGAACTTAATAGCACAAGTCCTGGAGTGGAGAAAACAGACACCCCTATAAAAGAAAAGGCAAATACAGACACTGAGAAAGACTTTTCGGAAAATGGAAAAAACTTGCAGCATCCTGCAAAAGAAAAATTGAAAGGTAAAGATGAGACAGACTCTCCAACTGTGCATCTGGGTCTAGACTCTGATTCAGAGAGTGAACTTGTCATCGATCTAGGGGAAGATCATTGTGGGCGTGAGGGACGGAAAAACAAGAAAGAATCTAAAGAACCACCTCCTAAACAAGATGGTAGGTTGAATATATTTTCTTCTTTCATTTATGTGACAGATACAAAAGTATGAAACCTTAGTTTTCAATAATTGTTTGGACTCTTGAATGATCATTCACAGGAGATAGGTACCTTTCATTAGTGCTCAGTATTACAGCACAGATACTATACAAATATCCATGAATTTGTAATTTAATTTTTAAGTTTTTCAAGATTTTTTTTTTAATTTCACCCATTAAACTTCATTCATCCCCCAACAACATGACCCGCGTGATGTTCAACTTGATCAAGAACTCTTAAATATGTACAGTTCCATGAAAGTCAATTTACTGCTCACAATAGTAGAAGTTATAAGAGCTGGTCTGTTATATACAGTATCAATTCATGTTGCTGATGTGTTAATCAAGGTAACTGTAAATTGCAATTAACCATTAAGAAAAGTACTTTTGCTAGCTGGGCTCAGCATTTTAACTGTTAAATAAAACAACATATTTGTCTAGACCAGATGCTGTGGTGAAAAGTCATATATAAGCCTAGATAGACTTTTTTCATATTAACTAACTTTATTGTTTCCTCTTTGATTTTCTTTCTTTTTACATAGTTTAGGTAGCACATTGAATCAAGCATCCTATATAATTAAAACTCTATAAGTGTTTTCATTCATATTGCTATGTGTGGTTGAAAAAGTGGATGCTTATTTGGTGCTTTTGGACTTTAAATCTTAAGACCTGGATTATAATAGATAATTGTCACTGTCTGCAATTCAAGGAAGATGAGAATGTGTTGAGCTAGAAAGCAGTATACGATACACTTTCAGATGTGGATTTAATTTTTGGACTTTTTATAGTTATCAACGTTCTTATTTAATTGAACAGTTGGTTACTTGTGGCACAGATATATTAAGTTTGTAATTGTTATTGAGTTATAAATAATACATTAGAAAAATGAGCAGTAAAATGGTTTATACTGAAAAGTATCATTTTTCTTCTAGATGTAAGTTCCATTTAAAATAATTGACAAGCAGAAAGTATACAGCTAATAATTGGCTTAAGAATTGTTTACTTTTTTGTAATGATTCTTACATAAGGTGATTCCAATATCAGATTCACAATCTTTTTAGCCAGGATAGAAGTGGGGCTTTCTTTCACTTCAGTGCTTGGGAAATTTTGCTTGTTCTGCCAGACCTTTATTTGAATGGATTGCAATCCCTGCATGGGATGTCTTCCTCTCATTCTTCTTTTCATTTAACAGTGATCTCTCACAGTGGTTGCCTGTATTGTATTGCCTTTATTATTTGCTCTTGCTACAGAGCTCCTGCACAGAGTAGGAAACAGCACTGAAATATTTAGTATCAACATTACTCTGCAAAATATAGATTATCATACTGGGCCTCATGATCAGTCATTTCTGTCCCCATTTTTTATGATTTGGTTACCGAAAGAACCATCATCTTGTTTGGACTGACTTTTGGATTTATATCCGTATAACTTCTGACTTGACCATCAAAAGTAATGACGGGTATTCTGTTCCAGTTCTAGGCTTTTGACACTGCACATCTAAATAAAGATAAGGCTTCCACTTCAGTCCATCTATACACAGTTATCCTCTAACTGACATGTTTTCCCATAAGATGCCACTCACTCTCTTTCTGACTAGTTGGCTTAAGATAGTGTTACCAGTTGCCATTTGATTGAAAAGAGCTTTTTTTAAGTAATGTTGGTCATGTCAAGGCAATCTGTGCAAGCAGTGATGGTGATGAAGAGTTCATTGCTTTCTAAAATAAGTGTTAGTTTTTCTGTGTCAGATGGCAGAAGAAAGTAGTCCCTTCTCCCCTATGGGGATAAGACCCGATTTCTTAGTGTCATCATTGGTAAAGATTCATAGAATCGGCATAAAAGCTCCTGTGTTCCAATAATGAGTTGTGGGAGACTTCGAGTGGTCAACTCGTACATTTCCAATGTGTTCTGCACAATTGATTAACTTAAAGAATTGCCAGTTTGCTTTTGGTTCAGGTATTATTTTTCTGAATATCTTATTCTTTCTAATTTTTTGGCTTTGCCTGTCTTTAGAAAGTATTCTCTAGTGTGGAGTAAAGGTGCACTCCCTGTAATTGATGTTCAGATTACTACTTATATCCTAGCAGTGGCTAACCTGCTGCATTTCTATCATAGTAAATTCCAGAAAGGTTTTTTTAAATGTCTCGTAATTGTGAATTCACTCAAAGTACAGGTAGGTGAGAAAAAACATACCCGTGGAGATATGAATTTCACTTACAGGGGAAAATTTGTTTTATTGGAATATGCATGGGTATCTTCTCCAAAATTGCGGCTGGAAATCAGTAGTCCAGAAATTTCAGTGAAAAGTCAATATTCTGTTTTGTTTAAGTTGCAGGTAAAATTCCACCTTCTTCCAGTGCAAGCAGCCAGCCTCCACCTGAAACTCCAGTGCTTACCCGATCTGCTGCACAAACACCACCAGCTGGAGTCACAGCTACTACTAGTGCTACTTCTACTGTCGCTGCTCCAGCAGCAGCCACAGGGAGCCCTGTGAAAAAGCAAAGGCCGCTTCTACCTAAGGAAACAGCCCCTGCTGTGCAAAGAGTAGTGTGGAATTCTTCAAATAAATTTCAAACATCATCTCAGAAGTGGCACATGCAAAAGGTACAGCGGCAGCAGCAGCAGAGTCAGCAATCTCAACAGTCACAACAACCTCAGTCTTCCCAAGGGACAAGATACCAGACAAGACAGGCAGTAAAAGGTATTACACTTGTAACAATGTGTCCATGGTGCCCTAATTGTCTAGTAGTGTTCATCGTGATCCAAGCCCTTCTACCAAGAAAACCAGTATCTCAAGTAGGACTCTACTCTGAAAAGTGATTCTTTAAAAATGTAACCGATTACTAAACTTATTAGCTCCTTGTGGTATGGCTTTAGAATAATTTATCCTTACTTTAATTATTATAAATGTGCATGTTTTGCTATTGACAACCAGTTCATTCCTTATTTTGGAGAAATATTTTTCCTATCCGTCAACAAAATTGTCAGCTATATGTTCTAGTTGCATGACTCGTTTTGTGTCCTCATCTTCAAATTGAGAAACAACTATACCTGGATAAGCCACAGAAGGCTGGTTTGTACATATATAATTTTGCATTTCACATATGTAATTTCAGGATATGATTGCACAGGTATTAAAAAAGGCAACATTTAGCTTGTATAATTTTTTTATTGCTCGTGGTGATACATGAGCCAGGAACAACCCAACTTAACTATCAGATCCCATGCTGAGTTTGGGCTACTGTCAATTAAAAAAAAAAATGAAACAGAAAATTCTACTTGTAAACTGAGAAAACCTGAAACAGAAAATTCACTGAGAAATATGTGTGAAATCCCTGTGACATCCTCATTGTTAATAGAATGGAATTATAGTTAAAAAGTAGCGCTTAATATTATAGCTCAATTGAGACATTCAATATATTTAGACAAAATCAGAAAAATTCTACCAGAACTATTTTTGTATAATTTTATATTTCCTGTGTGAGAAGTATATTGGACTAAAAATTAGTTGTGTTATACAAATTTTGATATATATTAAATTGGCACAGGCGAAGAATCCTGCACAGAGACACCGTGACAAGCTTCTTTTACTTGTAATGATTACATTATAAAGGATTTAGGGGTCCTTCACATCATGGGCTGTTAGGAAAAAAATTAGGTTCAAAGATTTTGCCTTAATAAAAAGGGTTGAAGCATCTTAATCAATAGGGATCAAATTATGATACCCTTATGTTGGCTTATTCCTGAAGAAGTCCAGTTTTTTCCCCAAGGAGACTATCTAATGAGTAAGATATTAACAAGCATGAGCATCTGTACCTCAAGTCTGACCCTATGTTTACAGTGCAGAAATTAACGTGTTTTTTTTTTTTTGTTTAATTCGGTTACCTCTTACATCACAATCCCACTGTTCAACTAGTTGAAATTCCTTATGAAGGGGTAATAATGCCACCCTCATCCTGTTAGATTTTAACCAGAGAGGGATGGAAGTAATGTCAGGAACTGAAATTGAAACATGCTTGCGAATACGTTGTACCATGGGTCATAGAGAATGTTTTCAAAGATAAAACAAAACCTGCCAGTCAACTTTTCTGAGGTAATTTACAGTGGCTGACAAATGTTGATACCAAAGACAAATGAATAGAAGTGCATGACAACTTCAGGCTCCCTTTACAGTGATTCCAAGATGGAACTTTATTTTGCACATATGGTGGTAGCTGGAAGTCTATAGGTGGCCTCTGAGAATCAGGGTGAGGGAGTCCTAGAAACTCCAGTGAGACAAAGATTCCCAGGAGAGAATTGTACTGTGACCAGAATTGAAAGTGGTAAACCTTGAAGCTGTGTTATCATATTTACCTTTAGGTCCCTTACAAGAGCTGAGCAAATAATTTATACGGGAACTTCAGCATTATTTCAGGAATATAATAGTATTTTAAATAGTAGCAAAAGAAATGACTATATATATCCATTTACTAAAGGATGCCTTACATTGGCAAACTAATACATGGGGGTTTTAGCTATTTGCCTGTTAATTTTTTAAATGTTTAATTGTATGTTTTATTTTCTCAGCTGTACAGCAAAAAGAGATCACCCAGAGCACTTCCACGTCAACTATCACCTTGGTTACAAGTACTCAACCTGTTTCTATGGTTACTAGTTCTGGATCTTCAAGTACACTTTCTTCTTCAATTAATACAGACTTACCAATAGCAACAGCTTCAGCTGATGTGGCTGCAGATATTGCAAAGTACACTAGCAAAGTAAGTTCTTGAACAGGATTTTCTTTAAAATTTTATTTTAAATTAATTTGGTATCCAGCAGATAGCAAGAGTCTTATTAAAAGTGGTAAAATTGATTAACATTCAGAAGAATGGTTTATCTGATTGTGGTATTCCCATTCTTCTTATATTAATAATGTCATAGTGTGAAAGACCTTGAAATATCAGCCATACCCAAAAAGATGAATCTCAGCATGATGAATCAGATCATATCTTTTCTCCCTTGAACTCTTAAGACACTGACCTAAGCAGTATGGACCAGGTTTAATTTAAAAAGATGAGTAGAGCCCTGTGTGGATACAAAATTGGTATCCTCATCTGCATCTGCAAAAAGAGCCCGTGGTTATAAAGTGGATACCTACAGGTTTGCAGAGTTCTAAAAATGAGAGAGAGAACAAGGTACACTAAAGATTTATTCATTTTTGCTTTTCAGAGGCCAAATTCTGGTTCCATTCTCGTCAGTGGGACCAAAATGTAACCCTAAAAAGCGTGTCTTCAGTTCAACTAGAGGTCAGCAACTTTCACAAGCAGTCTTAATATAGTCCTTTGCCATAAGGCTAAAAATATGTTAATTCCTCAAATCTGATATTCCTCTTACTGCATTTTACTTTTGTGGGACTACTCTTGTGTGTTCTAAAGAGGGAACAGATGACCAAGTAACAGGGAGCATCATGGTCCAGTGGTTGAGGCACTGAACAGGAAGTTAGGAGACCCCAGTTCTACTCCTGGTTCTGTTGTTGACATGTTATAGGACTGTGGGCAATTGAATTCATTGTTCTTCCATAGATTCCCTATTTGTAGAATGAGCACATTTTGCTTCTGGCTTAGTTCAGCAATCTATAAATTTCAGCCACAGATCATATATCTTAAGAAATAATTCGCATTAACTTGGGAGAATTAACTGTCAGTAGATCTCTGTTAATAAAAAAAAATCTGTTCTTATTTTAAAACAATGCATATTTTCACCATTGGAAACTTCATTCAAGGTACAGGTTGGACATTGCTCAAGGATGAAGCAGCTATGAGTAAGCAATGTGCCCTTATGTAGATGTAATTTATGTATAAAATACAGGTTTGATTTGATGAACAAAATTTCTCTTCTAAAATAAACATAAGACCAGAGTTTCACATATATTAATTGAGCAGAAATGCAGTATTTTATAAATGGAACATTATTTATGATTTTGGGATTAATACAGATGATAATGAACAGAGATTGACTTAATTTTAACTACAATGAAAATATAGTTAAAACATATACTGAACTTTGGATTCCTTTCATATTATTTGGGAAATCCATGCCTCTAGTTACTTGCCAAGATGAAAACTCAGGGCTCTGTGGCGTTCTTATAACTTGTTACTACCAAAGCTTCTCTGTTCATAATTAGGTTTCCCATCTCTTCCTGTCTGCCTTTCAGGTCCATTCTTCTGAGAGCATTAAAGAGCACAATTTTTATATTTCTGGATCCTGCCTTTTTGTAAAAATGAAGCCAGCAATCAGTATTGGGTGTGGTGTGGCTTGAAGTAAAAAAGAAACCAAGCTCCCTATGACATTTTGTTGGGTAGTTGTCCAGCAGAATAGTAAGGATGCTACCACTACCACAGCCACCCTTTTTAAGAAACTGATGGATATTGCAGAATCAGTTGAACAGTTAAAAACATATTTTAACCTTTTAAAAATCCGGGCATAGTTTCTGATCAGTCTTGGCAATATCATTTGGAAATCATCCCAAAATTATGATCTGGAATCTCTTCATAATCTTAACTGGAAGTTTTTCAAAAAGTACTCTGATAAATGTATATAGATATGTGGCATTGTTAACAGTAATATATGTTCATCCATGCAAGGGAAAAAAAATGAGTAAAACGAATTTGTTGGTCCTTTAAAATAGATGTTAGAAAAAAGTGATTTCTCTTTTTCAGATGATGGATGCAATAAAAGGTACAATGACTGAAATATACAATGATCTTTCAAAAAATACCACTGGAAGTACAATAGCTGAGGTCAGTATTGCTTTCAGTAGAGCAAATTATTTTTTTAAAGAACTTGGAAATCTTCAAACGCATAAAAAAATCCTTTTTTAAATAATATGGGAAACTTGGCCTGTATCCATAGCTGAAAGAAATTCTGAACTAAAGCTGCCTGTGCACGCTAACTTCTTTGCTGTCAAATCTATGACTCTTGTAACAGATGTGGTACTCCTAGGTGCTACCTAGGTTTATGGTAGTACCTAGGAGTCCTTGTTAGAGACCATACCACATTGTGTTAAGAGCTGTACGAACACAGAATTTTACCATTAAAAAGTTGAGCATTTCAACCTAACTCAAAAGGGGAATTTTTTTTGACTGATTTAAATTCTAAATTATGCTTTATTGTAGTGTAGCATTTTGTGTTGTTTCATTTTGTTTTAAACATTTGTCTTCCAATAGGTTATCATGATCACATTGTAGAAGGTGCAATATAGCTTTGATACTTCTCTCCAAAGACTCCTGATTATTTTATTATCATTCATTGTTTAGATGAAAGGATTGTATTTTGTGTCAATAGCTGTACGTGTGTAGTCCTTACTTTCATTGTTATCTCACTGCTTTGATGTTTTTTCTGTTTTATTTTAAAAATAGTTTAAACTGATTACATAATGCAAACTTCCTAAGCAAGAGAAAACACTGGAACAGGAGTGACTTACTTTAAAGCACAAGTGGAAGAGTGTCTACACAACAACATCAGCAAAAAAGCCAAAGATCTCAGGGTATGTCTTCACTACCACCCTAGTTCGAACTAGGGTGGTAATGTAGTCAACCGGAGTTGCAAATGAAGCCCGGGATTTGAATTTGGAACAAGGAGTAACAGTAGTTCAGAATAGAAAGCCTAGTCCGAACTACCTAGTTCGTGCCGCGTGTAGCCAGGGGCACAGAGTCCGAACTAGTGGACATGTGTGAAGAAGAACTTTCTTTTATTAGTTTTAAACCTGCTACCCATTAATTTCATTTGGTGTCCTCTAGTTCTTCTATTTAGGGAACTAATAAATAAGGGTATGTCTACACTACCACCCTAGTTCGAACTAGGGTGGTAGTGTAGACATACCCTCAGAGCCTAGTCAGTGGATTCAGGCTCATACTTGGGGCTGAAAGTGAGAGTGTAGACTAGCAATGGGCAACCTACACTAGTGAGTGGGCCACGTGAGGGGGCCCGTCTTTGTCAGTGGGCTGAAAGATTGTTGTCCTAGGATAGGGTATTGCTAACTGCACTTGTGTACCTAGAATTTGTGGGGTTTGCTGTGTGAACTATAGCAGTGCTTTGATTGGATGCAGAGGGAATGCACGGCTTTTGCAATTAATGTGTGCAATCAGTATGCACCACATTCACATGTCCTTGTTTTACTGTGTGTCACTTTAGTAGTACCAAGAAAAAAACTACACGGACCGAAACCAGCAGAATCTGGCAACTCTGTACATAGGTTAACAAAATGTCATATGAACCACATATAGAACCCCATTAAGTTGGAGGTTGCCCACGACTGGTGTAGACATTTGTGTTTTGGCTGGAACGTGAGCTCTGAGACTCTTGCCCCTCACTGGATTTCAAATCCCAGGCTCCATCCTGACTGATTGTCTACACCATTGGTTTTAGTCATACAGCACAAGCCCCAGTCAATTGTCCTTGATTATGATTTACCCAACATTACTCAGGTCCTTTGTGGCAGGGGTCTGTGGGTGTGGGGAGTGCAGAAGACAGGGCAGGGGCTTTGGAGATGTGGGGGAATTAGAACAGGGGGCTGGAAATGGGGGAGGTGCAGGAATCAAGGAGGGGTAAGGTGCAGGAATCAGGACAGGGGGCTTGGAGATGTGGAGGGTGCAGGAGTCAGGGCAGGGAACAGGGAGACATGGAGGGGCTCATGGCAGGGGGTAGGAGGTGTAGGAGTCATGGGAGGTATGGGGTGGCTCCTCGTGGGGGGACAGGAGGGAACTTGGCTGGCCAGTGGCTCCTGGCGAGGGGCAGGGCTGGGCATCCCTGGCTCCTCACAGGCTGGGGAGGGATTCTGGCTGGGTTGCCCCCCCTCCCCCACCAGTGGTTCCTTCTGTGCTGCCAATCAGCCCTTAGCGGCTCCTGTGATCACTGCAGTGTAAGAGTTCCCTCTTATGCTTACGGTCCCATTGGTTGTTGTGGAGCATAACTGTGCATCCTATCAGACTTCTCTCTTTCCATAATATGGAAAACAATCTGAACTCCAGGCACATTTTCTTGGCACAGCCAAACCTTGGTCTTGCTTTAAGTCCAGATAAGAGGACGCTGCATATCAAATGTGGTGGTCCTAGCTCTTACCATGTAGAAGGAGTTATTGAACAAACGGACTTGTTGACAGAAAGGCAGACACACATGCACAAATTCTCTTACATATATAGGTATAGACAGACATAGATATTTGGATGTTTTCTACATTTTCAAATATGTTGATATCTGTTATAATGCAAAATGAACTTCACTTGATTTTTTTTTTTTTAATAACAAATACTTGCATTTTTTTTAAAAAAGAGAAAGAGATAGAGAATGAACCTCTCTAAACTGGGGCTCTCTGGTCCAGCAACATCCAGGGTCCTGCCAGACCATAGATGTTCCTGGACCAGAGAATCCCAGTGGATAGTTGGAGGCAGGAGACCTGCAGGGGCTGAGAACCCTGCTAAGTTGGCAGCAGGGAGGCTGGCGGTCAGGAACCCTGCCATGGGAGTCCAGCTGGGCCAGCAGCAGAGTGGCCTAAGAACCAGTGGGCTCTGTCAGGATAGCAGTCTGCTGCATTAGGAGAGTGGGCTGCTGTGGCAGAGCTTGGAGTCCTGGCAGCAGACTGCCATGGCAGGGCTAGCAGCCTTGCCCGTTTGGCAGTGGGATGCCACAGCAGGACTGGGAGCCTTGGTGGCGGGGAAGGGCTAGGAGCCTAGCAGGGCAGCAGAGCCCACAGGCAGCCTGGCAGCAGGGGAGCTGGGAGCCCAGCTCTGTGTGTGTGTGTGGGGGGGGAGGGGGGGTAGGGGTAGTAGAGCCAGTGGTCAGACCAGGAGCAGAGCTGGGCTGGGGGTGGTGATGGATGGGGTCTAGAAATGACCTCTCTTGGTCTAATAAAATTTCTCCTTTTGGACTGGTCAGATTCCTAGGGTGCCGGACTAGGGAGGTCCAACTTATAGTATTTTTCAATTCCCCCATTATAAATACTGTAGTGCAACCTCTTTATCATGGAAATTGAACTTACAAATGTAGAATTATGTACAAAAGCATGCATTCAAAAGTAAAACAATGCAAAACTTTACGGCCTTCAAGTCCACTCAGACCTACTTGTTCAGACAGTCTTTCAGACAAACAAGTTTGTTTACATTTGCAAGAGATAATGTGGCCCACTTCTTGTTTATATGTTACCTGAAGATGAGAGTAGGCATGTATTATATGGCGTTCATAGCCAGAGTCACAAGATAATTTACATGCCAGCTACACTAAAGATTCATATGCCCCTTCAAGCTTCAACCACCATTCCCCAAAGGACATGCATCCATGTTGATGACAAATTCTGCTTGATACAAATCCAAAACAGTGCAGATCGATGCATGTTCATTTTTATCATCTGAATCAGAATGCCACCAGCAGATGGTTGATTTTCTTTTGAGTGGTTTGGGGTCTGTAATTTCCACATCAGTGTATTGCTCTTTTAAGATTTCTGAAAGAATGGTCCACCCTTCGTCCCTCCACAATCCTAGTTTTGAGTTTTAAAACAAGTCTCTTCCTTGTTTATAGGAAACCCCCACAACTAAGAGTGTGCTTTGTGTATCTCTTATTGAAGCTTATGGGCATTCTGAAATCCTGGTTAGTTGGTCAAAATGTTTTGGGCCTAATTCTCATTTACACTTATGGCCTTTTTGACACAGCAGTGTAAAAGAGGCTTTAGTGTAAATAACCATCGGATACTTTGTCTCTAAGCCCAGTTTTTCTCAATGATTACATAGCTATGTTTTATATACACTAAATTTATATTTTCCTGTATGTTAAATCTTATCTCTTCAATATTTCAGATTCGTCGTTTGAGAATCGAAATAGAGAAACTTCAATGGTTACATCAACAGGAGCTCTCAGAAATGAAACACAATCTTGGTATGAAAAGTACAGCCTAAAATAATATGATTTCAAGGATTGTGGTATATGTTTGCTTCATTTATGCGACAGAACATATTGCCCATGTGTAAAGGGCTAGAAAATAGAACAGAATGTGCTGTGCTGATGTTACTGGGCATGTACCCAGGAACTTGGACAGCTGCTGTTTTCCTGAAAACAGTAGTTAAAAACAGTTTTGAGATTAACCAGTGGAATAGGACTAGGCTTGGAGAAAATTTTCTGAGGGAACGTATAAGTAACCTGGTCCTCACCATGCGGATCTTTAGATAACCTCTGTTAAGAGACCTAACTCATGAATGAATGTTATGACCTATTTATTTTGGGCTGCCTATTCAGAGAGACCGTGCTTTGCAAAACAATTTCAACAAATAATTCATCCAAAAATGCTTTTTTTGGTCAAGTCAAAATTGCTTTCATGTTGGTGTTAAATTGGCTGAATAGTTTCAGTTGGACCAAAAAAAATTGAAATATTTTAAACATATTTCATTTTGATGTCAGGCATTTTGACAAAATGAGAGGAAACTAGATTCACAAAATGGCCAGGAGTGGGGGTAGGGAAGGATGCACCTCTCCTATAACTTCTAGTTTAGGGGCTAGGGTGCTCACCAAGGATGTGGAAGATCATTGTTCCTCTCTCTATTTAATGTGGAAATGTGGCATTCCCCAGCCACTTGTTTATGGATTATTTTGGTATTTCTTGGTATCTCCTGTGGACACTTTTCCAGTTGTATAAATGTAAATAGCTACTGCTCAAGGACTTGAACTCAAGTCCCTGGTTCTATGTGAGGATCTCATTTTTAGCCAACCTCCACTGATGTACCCACAAAGTTTGGGTCTGTTCCCATTGAAATTGGTGGTGGAGGGGTTTTTAGTGACTTCAAATCCCTTTTGATTCTGTGTAACTGACTCTAGGATAAAAGATTTATTTTTAAAAAACAACAAATACTCAGCCCTGCTTGCCCTGCATGCTACTCTGGCCTCGCCAAGGGGCCCAATACTAATGTAAGCAGGCAGGAAGATTTTTCAGTAAGCACAGAACCAGCACAGTTGGCTTTATATCACTTTTTTGCAATCCCTACATCTCCACCACTGTATAGCCAGGAAATGATGACATGATTAAAGTACTGCTGCATAATGTTCCCGCTAATCTTTTCCATCCATATGTGGAATAATTGTATGTGCACCAAGGCATGTGTGACTGTGAACCACCAGTAGTAACAAAAGTCCAGCAGTGGGTGCTCTGCTAATCAGCTGGGTAGCATTTAAATCTCTCCTGAGTTGCTACACAAGTGCACAGCTTACAGAAAACACTGCTGCTGCACTAAAGTGATCATTGACTGACAATGATTCCTAGGGGGAAAGTTGCAGCGAAGCACAGATTACAGAATTCCTGAATCCCTTTTACATAACAGGTAGTGTTGCACTGGCCTCAGGTTTAGGGACAAAGTTGTGTAATACTATTGTATTTCATCCCTTTGAGCATTATGCTGCTGTGCTGGAAATTAAGGTTGGGGCCTGGATTTTTGCAGACGCATAATTCTGTGTACGAGTTCTGTTTATCTCATTTTATTCATTGATGTATATATGACTTTCAAAGCTTTCAGGAATAATTTTGGCTTTAGAACTTTTGTACTTTGTTACAGTTGTGTCCTCACAGAGTCATGTTTATGATGACATCCTCATTCTTTTATCTAAAGGAGCCGGGATACAATATAGAATTGTTGGATTTGTGTGTGTGGGAGGAGAGTGTGATCAGTGGTCCTCTTTATTTGTTGAAAACTATTTCACAGAGCACTACTGAAGCTCTTGGCTTCTGAAGTCAAAGGCTGTGCAAAATAGCTGCAGCAGATTGGGAATATATTTTTGCACCACATGTAGCACAACTAAGGCATCTAGAAGCTAACTGTAATAGAATTAATAAATAATGATAGAAGGTAAAAATGATAGCTCCATGATAAAATGTGGAAGACGTTTTCTTGGTAATGAATAGATACAGGTGAGAATGGCCCCAACTCAGATATACAGTGAAAATATATTGTGTATTTACAGTTTCAGTTTTAACTTGACCCTTACCAGTGGGAGAAATATAAACTCATCTTTCTTTGCATCTCAACTAGAATTGACAATGGCGGAGATGCGGCAAAGTCTAGAGCAGGAGCGTGATCGTTTGATTGCTGAAGTAAAGAAGCAGCTGGAGTTGGAGAAGCAGCAAGCCGTGGATGAAACCAAGAAGAAGCAGTGGTGTGCTAATTGCAAGAAAGAGGCCATCTTCTACTGCTGCTGGAATACCAGCTACTGTGACTACCCTTGCCAGCAAGCTCACTGGCCTGAGCATATGAAATCCTGCACACAGTCAGGTAATCTGCCTCTCAGAAGCCTATCTCATAGCTATTCAGAATGAGAAAATACAGGACAGGTGGAATTGGTATCCACTTATGTGTGAACAGATGTGCCATTTGGGAGGGGTGAATGTTGATTGCTACACATTGCCAATAGCTATATTGTATAAAACTTTTTTTTTATTTTAGCTACTGCAACACAACAAGAAACAGATACTGAAATTAGTCCAGAAACATTAAATAAATCGTCCCAGCCCAGCTCCAGTACACAGCCTCCATCCACAGAAACAGCCAGCACCCCAAAGGAAAAGGACAGTGCAGCTGATAAAAACAAAGACTGTGTTACAGTGAGTATCACTGCAGTCACTTCAGCCTAAGAGTGTCTGATTTCTCTTAAACTTGAGCCTAAGGCATCCTTGGGACATCAGTATTTTTGACCCCTTGTACATTCCTAGAGGGTCATTTTGTGAGTGCGGTGGGAAATTATATTTTTCCTCCATCTTGGCAAAACTATTCCATTTGGAGGGAGAGAAGCAGGATATCCTCCAGGATCGCCCTTCCCCTCCACTCATCCCCAATAAGACCTCACGTTGACTTGACATCTTTCCAGCCATGGGGAACTGGACGTGTCTCTCACCAGGGCCCATCAGTGTTGCTTCTGGTCTGGATGTTTCAATACAATACAAATTCTGGGCTGAGCAATACTGACTGCAGCACTCAGACACTGCTGGATCTACAGTTAAGAGAGCAGCGTGCAAGCATGAAATTCTTCTTGCCATCTACTCTGACAGTGCTCTGCAGGCAAGGGTGAGCAGGTACTTTGATGCAAGGGGCCCCATCACAACATATTCAAGATAAATGTCTATAATAAAGATTGTTTTATCGGCAGGGTTTGTCTAATAGCCATTAGAACAGTAATGCTCTTCTTCCCTGCCAAGTTTTATTAAAGCAACAACTTTATTGGGGGCTGGTCCACTGCAATATCTGCCCGTACCCATTCCCTCACTTCAGTGTAAGCCTCATTGACAATTTTCAAAAATGTTAAAAATAGAAAATATTATGTTGTAAAGTGTTGTGATTCCAACATGATGTCTCATTGAGCTAGTCCTCTAGAGTAGGAAGTATGATGTACTAGAGAATCACTGTTCATTTCTGGTATCATTGGTAACATCTGAAATTAAATCTCCAGGCTTGATATGGTTTCTAAGGGAGTAACTTGTGGTTGAACCTAGTTGAGGAGAGGAAGAGTGTGTGTCTTTACTTGAATGCACAGGTGAAACTGTGGTGAACTATATTGGGCTTCACTGGCTCAGTTGATGTCCGGATGCATTGTTTGTGTACCTTTATCTTGTGGTGTTACGGGGATAAGAGGAGAGTCAGTTACCTAAGGCTTCTGCCATGGAATATTCAATTTTTTTAAATTTAGAATTTCTTTCACATAATTGTTCTACCTGAAACATCATGCTGTGTACATTGATCATGTTCATAATTTGAATTTTGTTTTATTAACAAAAGTAACCTGTGAATTCATTAAGATGCAAATTTTTAACACAACATCCAACATAAATTTCATATTACAATAGTAATAATAAATTAGGTGGAATTTATGTAAAAGCTTAGACTTTTACTGAGGTTACCTGTGCTGTCTCTGCAGATAGCAACAGGTGTGACAAGCAACCAGCCTATAAAACTGGTCCAGGTACCGCAGACCACCACCTATATTCCAACTACTCAACCCACAATTGTAAGTACATCATCATCATCATTTAAAGTCTGCAATAGAACTGTTCCTGGCATTAAAATACATCAATATTTTTGGGGGTCGTTTCCTGTCTGTTGCTCTATCAGGATATGAATTCACTGGTATCAAGTCTCAATTTGCAGTGCAAAATGTCTTATTTTGCTGTGCAACATTCCATCTTTGTCATGCCTTTCATTTTCATCATTTGGTTATTACAAGAAACTAGGAAAAGCCACTGGGCATATACTTAAGGCACTGACGATAGTCAACTCGTTGCTTGCATTAGAATTTTGACATTATTTACCAGTTTGATTTTGGTTATTTGACCAAGAAATCGTGATAAATATTGCATGTAGTTAATGTACCATCTTTTCCAGTGGTATCCTAAAGAGCTTTATATAATATTGGTATATTAGAGTTAGGGATGTGAAAGGTTAACTGGTAAGCATCACCCTTAACTGCTGTGGACGGGGGCTGCTCCAGACTTGTGGGGCCTGGCATGGTCATAGGCTGCTCCAGGCATCCAGAGCAGCCCCTGTGCACATCTGGCCTGATGCATTCCTGGCAGGGGCTGCTCCAGGTGTTTAACCAGTTCCATGCTTAATGGGTTAACCAATTACATGGGATTTTACATCCCTAATTAGACTCCTAGCCTGAAATGGCAGTAACTATGAAGGCAGATTGCACTGCTAATATGCATTCATCAGCATTCGATCTAAAATGTGGCCTTGGACATCAGGACCTGTGTTACTGAGAGAGGGAATGATGTCTGTGTCCCTGGGATTATACCCACTATTCTTTATCCACTAATATGTGCCAATGGCACTTTGATTTTTTCCCTGTATACTCAACCACAGACAAGACAAAAATGAGCTCCATTTAATGCTTAAAACTCTCTAACACGCCTTAAATTCCAATGTAATGCTCTCTAATGCTGCACTTAGCTCAGTTTCCACACTGAAACCTGAAGTTCTTCAAACTAACAGGGAAAAATGCGTGTGTCTCTCTGACACTTAGCATCATATGTTACCCATTTTTGGGTTGTGAGTTTGAAAGTAAAAGTAACTCAGCCAGTGTTCATATATTTGGCTTAGTTCATTTTTATACTGTGATATTAATGGTTGTTTTGTGTTAGTTATTTTCATACAGTGTTGCACAATCATCACGTCTTATCCATTAATTCTGTCACTCTGAGGATATTCTTGCTGGATGTCATGACTTTAAAAAACAACAACAACCTTCCCAACAGCTAAGTCATTAATCATAATAGAGAGCACTCAGTACCTCTCAAGAAAGTACTTAGAACCATTGCCCTGACAGACTTCCAACACCAGTGAGAAGCCATTATAACTGTTCTAAAATCAGACCTTAGGCATCAGACCAAGTTAGAGAAATGCCGATGCTCCAGTATCCTAAATTGGCCTCTTCAGGCATTCAGGAAATGGTGATAATGTCCACAACTGTCCTACTGAATATGCATGCAGCTTGAGTCAAAAGGAATCTGAAAGTACTAAAAGATTTTAGGACACAGCTACAAACAACTTGTGTGTGTGCTAATATAGCTACATACCTTTTAAATTGTCTAATGCCTGAGCATGCACAAATGTGCAGTTTTGTGGGAACCAGGTAGAGAGGCTTGGCTTAAAAATTGACTGCTCTGAGGAAACAACCACAATGCATTTAAGGAGTCCTAACAAATATCATACCGTGATCAGTAAAACAGGGATTAAAAGTTAGTATTAGTCCCATCTAAACATGTTTTTAAAAGATCCAGATAGCAAAATGAAGTTCCGTACTTTTACTGCTAATAGACAGTTTTCTAGTGCATAAGTCTCAAACTTTTAGTCCGCTGTCCATCCCTAGCCAGAATGATTGCAGAGTCTGGCTCAGGACTCCTGGGGGCAGGCTATTTGTTACCAACCCCCAACCCTTTCCATCATTGCCCTCTCCACCATGATACCCGATTCCCAAGGATGTGTCTTTGAGGATCACCGAGGGGCTCTGGCGGAAAGTACAGTGGGTGCAACTGCTGCCAGTATGTGGCACCAGGCTCCCCTGATGATCCCTGAAGTCACGCCTTGGGGATAGAGTTCCAAGAAGGGCAGAGGGCAAGACAGTAGTGGGGCAGGGTGGGGTTTGGGGACCAGTAACGGACCCTCCCTCAGCCTGCTGGGAGTCCCAGGTTGGATTGTGCAAACACTCAGTCCGACGATGGCCTGTGGGCTTGGAGTTGTTCTGGTGACTTTCTCATCTTGATCTACATTTATAAGTTGTCAGCATCCATTAAGAATATGAAAGAACCCACACCTTCTCCAGCATAGCTCTTGTGTTGACATAGAGTGGCTACACAGGAGACCTTACAGTGGCACAGCTGCAGTGGAACAGCTGATACCTAGCATAGGCATAGCCAGTCTCTGTAGCACCAATACAACCTCAGTTTCTTGTTATCTACCAATTGAGTCCTTACTCTGAATGACTTCCAATAAACCCCCATTGCACATCAAAAATCATCCTGATTACTAAATGGCAATAGTCTTGTATTTACTTCGTAAACTTCCATGTTTGTTTTTTTATTCTTCTTTGAATGAAAATAGTGATAAATGGTTAAGTGCTCTAAATCTGTCGTCATTCCATTTCTGCAGAAATGTTGTAGCTTCTGCAATGAGTAGACTTTCTCACAAAAGAGATGGTAAATATTTCAATGCTTGCAGTCCTGATTAGCCAAGGATAATAGCAATATTTGCTGAATACCACCAAGTCACTAGTGTAAAACGCTCTATGAAACATTGTGGAGAATGTGCATTTCTTCTTCCATCTTCTCTGTGCAGTTTTATGTCTATGTCAGAAGGAGGACTTGGGCATCTCTTTCAGTTCCCCAAAAACCTGTGCTCCTTGTTTCTTTCCCTTTAAAGCCTTCTGGACAGAAATTGATGTAGGGATGTTAGAGAGTAGTCGAGTGGACTATTCGACTACTTGCTTTCCCCTCCCCTTGCTACCTCTGTATAAGAGGCAGCAAGGGAAGGGAACAGGCGGCAGTGCTGGGGTTAGCTGGCTTAAAAGCCAGTTCCCCCAGCACCATTTCCACAGTGCCATCCCCCCGCTGCCTCCTTTAGAAGCTCCTGTCGGGGGGGGGGGGGGAATCCCAGCAGGGAGCTGGCTCCCCCCTCACACACACGCCCCCTCCCCACCAAGCAGCCCCTGGCCACTGCGAACAGGGACTGCTGGATTTGGCTCATGCTGGTCTGGGATTCTGCACCTCTGCATTTTAAATGTAGTAAAAGCCCAGCAGCTCTTAGTAAATTTAAAATGCAGAGCCGCAGCCCAGGTGGCTCCTGGAGCCATCATGAGCTAAGACTGCTCAGTCCCAGATCAAGTCGGCTCCGGGAGCTCCCCCCGCTGCAGTTCTGCAGAGAAGTCTTTATCGACTAATCATGTAGCCAATATAGATTGTATCTATTTACATGAGTAGCCAGATAACCGCAATTTAACATCCTTAAACTCATGCAGTTGCTTGGTCACCAGTTGGGCTCCAGGAGAAGTGTGCCAGAACATACTTTTTACAGATTAGAAGCTGCTGCTATGAGCAAACGGACTTACATTTCTGGAGGAAGGTTAAAGTATAGAGATCTGCTTCTCAGGTCTGCCAGTAATTTGCTGTGAGCTTGAGCAAGTCACTTAACCATTTTGTGCTTCCATATGTCTAGCTTTAGAATAAAATATCTACCAAATAGGGTATTATGAGATTTAATTTGTTAATGTGTGTAAAAGCACTTTGATGCCTTCAGTTGGAATTCATGACAGAACTGCAAAATTTTCTTTACTAAGGTCATGTCTATGCTATGGACCTTACAGCAGCACAGCCATATAGCTACAGCTGTGCCATGGTATGGTTTTCTATGTAGCCACTCTTCGCTGACAAGAGAGCTCTCCTGCTGGCGTAATGAACACCCTCTTCCCTCCCCCCCTCCTTATGGAGCAACATAGTGCTATCCACACCAGTACTTTTGCCCGTGAAACTTATGTTGGCCAAGGGTGCAGGTTTTTTCCATTAAAAAAAGTTATACCAACAAGAGAGTTAGTATAGACCAGTGTTTCTCAGCCAGTGGTACAAGTACCCTTAGGGGTACTGGAGAAAAGTCTGAGGGGTACATCAACACAAGTGATATTTGGAGAAAACTGAATTTTTGTTTGAAGTTTTACAGCGCTTTATTATTTTTTGTACTTTTTACACCCAAAAATGTTATTGTCTGCCCGGCTACGATTAAGTTATTTAAACAAATGTGTTGCAATGGTAGAAAAAAAAATTGTGTGTCTGAAAACTGTAGGTACTGGGGATACTTTTTTTTTTTTTAAAGTGGTACTTTATAAAAAAAAGGGTTGAGAAACACTGGTATAGACAATGTGTAAACATGGCAAAAGACAGTTCGCAGTAATAGTAGGGTTTTGTTGTTGTTCTGTGCAAAATAAGCTTGCACTATTATCTACACTATTGTTTTTACGAAAACATATGTTTTTCATTCTCACTTGTGCTTGAGCATATGGGGCAGGGGAGAAATCCTTAGAATCATAGAATCCTAGGGCTGGAAGACACCTCAGGAGGCCATCGTGTCCTGCCCCCTGCCCAAAGCAGGACCAGTCCCTTCCTGGGGAGAATATTATTAATGGAATTGCGAAACCCTAAATGCACTTATAAAGTTGTGTGTTTTGTATTCCAGTTTGAGAAGTCACAAATATGTTTCTCTAAGTAACAAAGGATTTTCACAGCCCCATTCTGTATTAGTTTTGGTAAATGTACACAGAAATGGGCTAACTACTGAGAATTCTTCAAGAACAGACAGAGTACTTATAATAGCCATCGGGACCACCTGTTCCTTTATCTCTGTGTAGCTGTGGTTCTCAGACTGTAGGTTGAGACCCCATAGTAGATTGTGACCTTGTTTTCGTGGGACTGCCAGGGCTGATGTTGGACTTCCTGGAGTCCAGGACTATGTTCCCTGTAAGCTACACAGTTGTGTAACTACCTTCATGACCCTGCACAAGCACTCAAGGCACCCGTGCAAGGAGGAGAGGAGGGCTGCACCTCCTCCAATCTAACATCCAGACAGGTGGCCCGAGGAGGAAGAGCCTGATCCAGGTTCCTCTCCCCCCAGCCCAAACATTACTGCAGCCTGGGTGCCCAGCTTCGGAGCAGTCCCCCCACCTCCGCCAGGGCATTCTGGCCCCAGAGGGGCTCCTCTCTTGAGGCCAGAGAGGCCTGGCTCTGGAGCAGCTCCCCGCCATAATTGAAGCAGCCTGTCCCAGAGGAACTCTTGATCATAGCAGTGTGGACTCAGAGCCTCCATGTCTTGACCTGGTCCTAGACCTTCTTCCTTCCCCTGCTCCCCTGTCACACTCCTGCACCCCACCCTCAGCCCAGTCCCAGAGAGCCCTTGCACCCCAACCTGGTCTGAGCCCTCATCCCCACCCCAGAGCCTTCACCTCCAGCTGGTGCCCTCACCTTTGTGCCCCAGCTGCAGACCTGAGCCCCCTCTTGCGCTCAGAACCCCTTAGCCCCATCCCTGCCGCATAAATGTTGTGTTATCAATATTAAGGCAACTTGTCTCACATCTCCAATAACAGAATTCATTCTGTTCAAGAGTGGGAAAAATTAGAAGGAACACTGATCCAGGGCTGAAGCTTGAGCCCTTCTGCCCAGGGCCAAAGCCCAAGGGTAGAAGCCCTGGGCAACAAGGCTCAGGTTGCAGGACCCCACATCACATACCTGGGGCTGAAGCCTTTTGGTGTTGACTTTGCCCCCTAACCTGGGGCAGTGGAGCTCATGGTTTGCTCTGCCCCTCGCCTGGGACAGTGGGGCTTGAGCAAGCCCAGGCTTTGGTCCCCTCTCCTGGAGTTAGGTAATGTTTTTTGTTGTTGTTGTTGTTGTTGTCAGAAGGGTATCATGGTGCAATGAAGTTTGAGAATCACTGCTGTATATCATAACAGATTATAGGGAAATTGAGGAGATTTTCTGCCTTTAGAACAGCTGCTAAGTCTTGAATAAAAGATCCTATTTCTAGTTTTTCACTAGAAAATGATGGGCTCTATTTCTGTGGTGGTGTGAATGTAACCTTTAACATAACAATATGTGTTTTGCTTGGTTTTAATCCACAGACCATTCCTGTAGTGGTAAGTCCTTCTGCTGGGACAGTGGCAATGAGAACTGGAGTTCAGTATGTTCAGACCACAATGCCAGTCCAAGTACGAAGAGTCTAACTACTAACAAGAAACCCAAGCGACAGTTGGAATAAATAATTAATAAAATCTGTCTAATAGAAATGTGAAAATAAACACAGTTCTTTGGATTAACCTCAAAGGTTCAGACTTTAGCTTTGTATATGTGTACAAAGCATTAACTACACTACATTAATGTAAAGCATTAGCGCTGGCTTTAAAAAGCTGAGGTAAAATCCATGTTAAATCTATGCTTTGGTTGTAAATAATGTACAATTTGTGGATGTCATTAAAGTTAGAGTACCATCTCCTTTTTATATTTGTATTGACTTTAACTTATAAAGAGTGTTTGAAGTTGGTAAAGGAAAGATTAAAATAGCCTTATCACGAATGAACATTGAAAACTGGACTTAAGGAACTGAAGTTCCACAAAATCACTTTCTTTAGTTATCAAGAAAGAATCTGATCATCTTATTTGGGAATAAAAACAATTGAGCACTTTGAAACGGAATTAAAAAAAAATTGTCCAACTAAAGTTGAAAATGTACTTTTTAAAAATTGATTTTATTGGGCAAATTATGAAATTTGCAATCTGTGGGCCTGAAGTACACAAAGAGGGTATTTTTGTTTGTTTTTTACAGTGACCAGACTGTTTGAAATGATATTGTTTACAGGAAACCATCTTAAATTTCATTCAGCTTAACAGCAGTACAGTAGAAAGAATAATACCAACTGTTTAGTAACCTGATTTATGGTCAATAGTATCAGATGTGAGAAAAGTGGAATTTTTTTTCTATGCTTCATAGTTCAGTTTTTTTAAAAATTTGTCTCTAAAAAACTTTGAAATGCTTTTCAAATGGAACAAGAACTTGATTTGGAGAAGACTATGTATCATGAAACATGGGCGAAGGACTTTTGATGCTGGGCTAGAGCATGTATTATTTATATGATGGAATTTACATTTTTATGTAAGCATGAAACAGTACAGTATGAGAGAAAGTAACCCATGAAAATTCTGTCTGTTACACTTATACTGTAGTACCATTTTGTATGTTGTGTAAAACGAAAGCATTGAACAAAGCAAAGGTAATGTATGTATATGAGAAAATTAATTGTATTATATCATTCCAGTACATTTTGTTGTACATTTTAGTCATGTTGATTTCTCCCATTGTTTATAAAAGGATGCGATTTGTACAGTCTCCAGCTAGTTACCCACATTAGAGGAAAAAAAAGTATTAGAAGAAAAAAAAATTGAGAACAGAATATTCGTGAATTGCAGTTGTGTCAAAAATAGCCTAGCTGGCCTTATTTGTGAAGCATAATTGCTTTTAGCATATGGAAGTATTTTTTCACATTTTCTTTGTATAAAATTTGTATTAAACTTAAATATCTTTTTGATTATTGTGTTTCTTTGTGACTGAGACAGGTGACACACTCTATGCTTTGGGTTTCCCCAATTTTTCAGGAATCGTCACAATTTTTTATTAAACAGTTTTAGAAAAATGGTTTGTGGTCCTAGATCTCCAGTTTCCTTCTATCTGGATGAATGTTTATTTCTGGACAGTCTCCAGATCATGCAACTGTCCATAGAGTAGGATCTTCAGATTGGTCAAACTGTCAAACCTCTCAATAATTAGGTCTTGCCCAGAACAAGAATAAAGCTATGTTAGCAATTTGTCCACTGAACAAGGGACCAATGTGTACAAAATGTGTAGTCACCTTCATTTTTAAGAGAGGCTCCAGGCCCCAACATTCATTGTTCAAACACCTGGTCACTTTTATCAGGGCTAAGTAGACTGTATCCCTGTGTTTAAAAATGAGAGTGGCTCGTAGGTATATTGTAAAACTCATGGGGGGAGCGGCATTTTAGCAATCAAGCTTTACAGACTTAATGTGTTTACTAGTTGCCAGGTCCCAAAGTAGTATATTAAAAGAGCTGCAGTGAAATTGAATATAATTACTAGAAGCCATCTTACCACCTCATGTTTTTATTGAGGCAATATTTGGTCTCTGTAAATTCCCCATTTCTTGAGCAATGTTATTACACAAGAATATTAGCTTTCTAGAAAGTGTCTAGTCCTCATGGTCTCAAAGAAAAGCAGTATAAAAAGTGCACCCTAAAGTCTCAAAAACCCGATGGCAAATGTCCAACCCCCCCTTACTATTTTAATAACTAATTATTTTGAAGCCAATCTTGTGTTCTGGGGCTTGCCTCATGATTTTTAATGGCTTAAGATTCAAAATACTTTAAAGTTAGAGAAAGTTACAGAAAGAGGAATGTATTAGCAAGTCAAAGTATATTCTAGCCTCCCACATAGTTTTAAATTAACTTGCTAACACTTTAAATCTACAAACTTCCTTGTCTTCACTAAGATTGTTAGCCCATGTTATTTAATAGGAGGTAGGAGCATACATTTTTTCCTAATGAAGGGTAGGTTTGATTTTTAATGTATTGCACATTATGTTGCCACTTTATTATGCTAATGGGTGAAAGGAGAATGTTGGGCCAGTGTACACTGCAAAGTTGTCTTGGCATAGTTTTGTCTGCCAGGGCAATGAGGAAAAAAAAAACACCCTCCCCAGCTGACGTAGTAGTCAACAAAACCCTCACTACACATAACTGTGCTGCCACAGGAATGCTTCTGTCAGAAGCATTGATACCATTTGGGGATGTGGTTTACTATGCCACCAAGAAAAACTCCTTTCTGTTAGTATAGGCTTCACCTGTACTAGGGGGCTCTGTAAGTACAGCTATACCAGCAAAGGATTTGTAGTGTAGACAAGTTCTTAAATGTAAATTTTTAATACATTCATGCATTCTTCACAAAGCATGTGCAGTCAGGATACTCTGAGACCCCATCATAGTTTTCAGTCCTTCCATGATACACATGTGGAATACTGTGCTTTTAACATAGGAAAAAACTTCCTAAAACACCATAGTTGATGAGTTAGTGCAGTGTGTAACTTCGGTTTTAATTTACTGTAAATAACTTTTAAAATTAGCCTAAGTTTTTCCTGATTCTCTACTGGAACTCACTGTTTGTCCTGGTATACTGCAAGATGCTAGCTAGGCTGCACCCACTTTCCTTAGTGAGATGAGGGGGTGATAAATTTGCGTTGGCTAGAATTACAGTATTGTCAGCATGTTTTAGAGCATGCTAGGAGCCAAAAGAACCTTTCATATTATTAAAGCAGCACTAACAGTGGACATTACACTGAAAACATTCAAATTAAAACTAGTACTGCTAGCAAAGTGTATTACAAGAAAAAGGAGACTTATTTTGTTAATAATATGGGAACATAAGTATCCAGAGTTCTTCCCTTTTCAAAGTTCTAGCATAAAAAGCAAAGATGCTGACAGTAATTGGAGAAGAATGGTGCAAAACTGAGGACTATATCTAAAGTACAGTTTAGAGACATTGTATTTTCTCTAACATAAATAGCTTTGAGAAAAGCAAATTTGGTAAATGGGGTTCCAAACCAGTCCCTGGCTTTATTACTCCAGGCACCTGCGTCAATAGGAGTTCATTTGCCATCATAATGGGTGTGCAATAAGAACCCAGGTGGATATGTGGAGAGCCCAGGAGCAGAGAAAGCAGTATGGGTAATTCATAGGTGGGTACTGGTCTATAGAGCTCTGCGTGGATACCAATGTCTACCTAGGGATGTGGATATCGACAGATAGACATCTTGATCCATGGGGTTCCACTTGTTCCTGGAAGTTGGCAGTGCGGTTGTATCAGCCCTGCCACCAGTGGGGCTGTACAATCCCATACAGGAGATGCCACAGCTGTGAGCAGTACAGCTGCACTACTGGCGTGGGGTGCTGGCTCCCAGGAGCAGCAGGCCTACACCCCTCTTCATTGGCCACAGTGTCTCTTGGGAGTAGAGCCCTGTGGATCAGTGGATACTGATGTCTATCCATGGATATCCATATTGTGGATAGACTGAATGTTTTCACATAGTGCAAGAGGAGACTGAGGTGTGATCAGGGCTGAATTAAGATTATGAGGGGCCTAAGGCTAGTGGGAAGAAAGGGCCTAAGTATGAATTACATATTGCAAGGAAAATGAGGTCATCAAACATTTATGTATATATTTACATAAAATTAACATGTTTATTCTACTCTCAGTTCACTCAATTTTTTCCCCCCACTTTAGCTGTGGCAAAGTCATGAATGATGTCATCATAGTTCAAAGACCTGACAATTTCATTCCCAATACTCGGGGGACAAACCACTGAGATGATCTTGTCATGGTGAATCAGAGGACATTTTTGACCCTTAGAAGAGAAAAGGAGCGTTCTCCACTCTAGTTAGTGATTATCAGTGACAAATACAGCTCTAGTGCAGTTTCAACATTTGGGAAACATTTGTCACATTGGATTCAGTGATAACTTGGTACATCCAAATAGATAAGCTTTTGTCATCTTTTCTCTCTGTATCTGAGAATGATATAAATCCAACACATTGAATACATCCTTTAGTAAAATCTAACTGGGAGATCATCTGGGTACTTCTGACAGATGTTTGCTAAGACCCTGGGCTCTATGTGGGGACTGGCTACCACCTAAGTATTGGGTAATTGACTAATCAAATAGTCCCCAGCTGATCCTGGGCTCCACGCAGAACTGCCACTTTGAAACACCACATGCCGCCTGGGGACACCTCAGCTAGCCCCAGGCTGCACACTGCTTTTCAAAGCCACAGCACCATGTGGAACCCAGGGTCTGGCCCTAGGCTGCAAGCCCCTCTTCTCCCCTCTCCTCCCGCCCTGCCCTTGCCTCTATTTGATAGAGGCAGCAAGGAGGGTGGGGGAAGCGACTAACCGATAAGTATTTGCTTATCGGATAGTTGACTAGTCCTTTATATCCCTTTTGGCTTTTGGTTAATGTGGGAGCTAGAGAGCCAGGAGGATCTACTACAGTGTCCTGTCTGTAGCCAACAGCCTTAAGTGCATTTCCTCTGTATTCATTAGCTCTGCCATCTGCTTCTTCCTTCATTTTACATTGTGGAAGACAGACCCTGCTTCTCCCCCACCAATCACCTTTAAAGTGTTCACCAGTGAGGAAAGTGAGTGAAATTCTGCTTATCCAGTTGTGAAAAAGCAGAAGGGACCTAAATCTATTCTTGTGCAAAAATCTGTTCTCCTGGGCCCTCTCCTGAAGTCAATAAGGCTATAAAAGTGTAACTGTTCCCAGGAATTGGCCTTTAGTCTCGTTCCCTCCTCAAATCACAATCATTCTATGCTTACCCAACATTTTCCATTTAGGAAAAAAGTTAAGAGTTGGGGCAGAAAAAAAGATTAACTTCAGCTTTTGAATTTTGGAATGAAACCAGAGGTGAAAGTAAGGCGGTTCACCCCAGTGTGCCAATGAAGTAACAGCCAGATGGGGTGCTCTGCTGCAGGAGGAGATGGGTGTGCTCCCAGCTGGGCTTCTGGAGCTCTCCTGTGGGCTGTGCCCCACACCAGACCAGGTTTGCCTGAGACGCCCCGTCCCCTGGCACCATTAAGGAAGGGCAAAAGGGGCTGAAGCCCCCCGCCCTTTCCTACCAATGCTGCCTGTTTCTTGCTATTCCCCTTCCATCACTGTCAGAGGGTGAGAGGGAACTCCTTTTAAGCCACAGAAAGCTGCTTTGCCTTGTCTTTTTTGTTGGTAAGAGAGCTCCAGGCTCCAGCCTTGAGAGCAAATTCACTCCCTCTCCCAAACACACACACTCAGCCCAGCTCTTCCTGCTACCTGAACAGGAGGGCCTAAACAATGGAATGACCTAATGATTAATCTGGCCTTGGGTATGGTACACTGCTAAAATTGCAGTGGTTCATACATTTCTCATTTAAAATGATATGGAATGGTCCCCAATAATTGGGCAGCTGGTGACCTGGTCAATATAGTTTACTTAAATTCCCACATAAATTCAATTTGTGGTATAACATCTCCACACTGCTGGTGAGCTTTACTCCAGAAGTGGATGCATTTCAATACCTACCAGTATGGTTTGTTCAATCACCCGCAAGCCTCCCATGTCAGTTAAAATAAGAAGACAAAGTGTGTGACATCAAAAACAGTCAACCAGAATTTTTGTTTCCAGTATGCTTTTCGTGTGCTTTTAAGGCACAGCTGCAGTGACTGGGCACTTCTCCACATAGAATGAGCATCCTTTAGCTATGTGGTATGCATTCTCTTATTGTGATGGGCACCAGGTGGCTTCATTAAACAACTGTCCATTAGCTAGAGAGCCAGTGGCAATTCCTGGCAGGGGACTCAAACCTTCATCCCCAGTAGCTGGAATGCCCGTATCATCATTCACAAAACCCAGGATTAGGTTAGCCAGAAGGTGCCTCTGAATACAGCTGCTTTCCTCCACCTAGCAGTGGCTCCACCCTCTTCCTCCTCTACTCCTGATCTGCAGCAGCTGCAGTTTGAAGCAGCATCTATGCATGTCCTGCTGCACACTGGCCCCTCTCCTGCCTGGCTCTGCTTCCCTACCAAGAGAT